TCTCTTTAACAAATCTGGAGTCAAAACCCTATCCTAGTTCTTGCATTTTAAAAAAGAAACAAATTTCAACTATAAGAGTATTTTCTCAGATAAGAAAACGCCCCCAAACTACAAATGTTTCATTTTCAAGTCCTATAAATATATTAACTAATATAATACCTGAATTGGCCAGCTCCAAGTGTGTCGCCTGTAAAAAGACTGTTCCTTGCATCTCTTAGATTTTCCCGAAGTTTTTTGTCTAGTTTCTGAAAAAAGCAAATTTTACATTAACTCTTAAAGAACAGTTTCACTGTTCTGTAATATATAATGTATTTCACTGAACTGTAATATATACTGTATTCTTAGTGTCAAAACTAGGAAACTTGGAATTTCTTTACAAAGTAGCAATTATAAAATCTTAAATATTTTAACTTCGTCACTATTCAATATCATCATAACTTGGACTTGAAAAGACCAATGCCTCTTCTACTGTGACCCAGACCTGATTTCATTAACAATCACTTTTCCTTGACTATTTATACTTTAAGCACAGAAAACGCTTTGCAGTAATGACCCACCTTCTCAGCCCAAGCATGACTCTGTTGTACCAAGGAATGTGACTATATAGTGGAGGCTACAAGAGGCTCCAGAATGGAAATGAAGTATGTGAAAGAAAGCAGCCCTCCACCAGTCAATGATTCATTTGAGCTAATAAAACTAAAAAACGTTAGTGTATCTTCCTCCTCCTTTCCATACCATTTACCCTCTTTCCTTTTCAGTAATTTTTCTAATCCCTTATTTACTTTTTAATCTTTAAAGCAAATTTTGAGTGCTCAATTTATATTGAATATTTTATTCCAATATTGTAGCAAAATGCACCTAACAATTTTAAAAATGGTTATGATTGTTAATAAATATTTGCTAAATAAAGTTAAATATTAAACAGTTTGTGGGATCAAATAGGTATAAAATACTATTTGGAAAAAGAAGGCTGAAAAAAAAAGAAGGCTGAATGAGGAATATACACTGAGTGGCCAGATTATTATGACCACCCCATCAGGACTTCTTGGGCCACCTTTTGCCTTCAATACTGCAGAGATTCTTCTTGGCATTGACTCTACGAGATGTTGAAAGGTGATGCGAGGAATCTGACACCATGCCTGATGAGTAGCACTGTCCAGTTCTGTGAGATCTGATGGTTGTGGAACCAGCTGCCTGATTCTTTTAACTTCGTCCCACAAATGCTCAATTGAACTGAGATCTGGTGATTGTGGGGGCCACCTAACCAAGGTAAAGTCTCCCTCATGTTCTTGAAACCACTCTTGAACAATTCAAGCACCGTGGCATGGCACACTGTCTTGTTGAAAGAAGCCATCTCCATTGGGATATGCCATCAACATGATAGGATGAAGCTGATCAGCAACGATACTTATTCAGATGTTATTGTGCTATTCAGACGTTGTTCCACACGAATTAAAGGGCCCAAATCATGCCAGAAAAAACATGCCCCAAATCATAACACTGCCCCCACCAGCTTGAAGGGTTGTACTCATGCATGTGGGGTGCATGCTTTCACGCTGTTTCTGCCAAATTCTCACTCTGCCATCTGCATGATGCAACTGGAAACGTGATTCATCGGACCACATGACTTTTTTCCAATGCTCGACTATCCAATCCTTGTGTTCCTGTGAGAATTGGAGACGTTTTATCTTGGAAACTACAGACAGCAAAGGTGTTTGAACAGGCCTTCGGCTTCCATATCCCATACGATGCAGTGTACGGCTAATTTGCCTACAAACGTCAGGTGGTCATGATAATCTGGCCACTCAGGGCACATGCCTGGGTTCCTAAGCCAGCAGGTGGACATCCACCAGGGCTCCTGGGCTGCCAGAGGGATGTCTGACTGCCAGTTTAGGCCCAAAACCCCAGGGAGTGGTCCTAAGTCGGCAGGTGGACATCCCCCGAGGGGTCCCAGACTGCGAGAGGGCACAGGCTGGACTGAGGCTCCCCCCTTCCCCCGAGTGCACAAATTTTCATCTACTGGGCCTCTAGTTTTTAAAATAATAGGGCTAGAATAGCACATTGAAGTAAATCATCTTATTCCATTACACAGAAGTACACAATGATTACTTTTTATTTTTGGTGGAATCCCAATGTTATAAAAATATTTGCTTTAGGTACTTAATATGTAACTCATAGCAATCATATTCTTAAAATTAACAAAAACATTTGAGGTATTTATGTAAAACAGGTGATGCAGTATTATTTATCCCCAATGGATATTTGCATAAACTCACCACTGCTACCATTTCTGCTGCTGTTCCTCTTGAACATCTGATTATAGGAACAGCACCTATTTTAACAATAGATGTTAGCAATGATTTCCACTCTTAATAATTAAAATGGCTACTTACAAAATTTATCAGCATTAAAAAATAACAAAGAGCCCTAGCTGGTTTGGCTCAGTGCATAGAGTGTCGGACTGCGGACCAAAGGGTCCCAGGTTCAATTCCGGTCAAGGGCACATGCCTGGGTTGTGGGCTCGATCCCCAGTTGGGGGTGTGCAGAAGGCAGCTAATCAATGATTCTTTCTCATCATTGATGTTTCTATCTCTCTCTCCCTCTCCCTTCCTCTCTGAAATCAATAATATATATATATATATATATTTTTTTTTTTAAATAACATACATATATATAATTTTAGGTTAAAAACATAAAAAAAGATTTATAATCTGTAGAGTAAAAGCAAAATGAACCTTCCCAATTATAAAGGGAGTCAGAAAGACTATTTTTATATAGTGCTGGGCAATCAATGTGACCAGGTTTTTCAATGAATTCACTAAATCAGCATTTCAACTCCCTACAGGCAGTTTCAAAAAGTAAGTTTACTCTCCACTCACAAGATTCACTTTAATTTCACTTAAAGAAAAAGAATGAAGATAATTTAGCAGTTTGGTATTATTATTTTTTATTTATTTTATAAATTAACCATACAGGATTACAATCTCTTTTTGAAATATTAATTTAAAAGATAACAGAAAACACCTCTTCACATAATTTTAAATGCTCCTAAAAATTATCAACTTATCAGACCTCTTAATGTATTACTCCACATTTTTCAAAGGCAAAAATCTAAAATAAAATAAAAACGAATGCATTGAGAAGTTCATAAAACAAACTTAGAACATTGTATTTTTTATATACTGAAATTGTTGCATTTTAGATTCTATTCAAAGAGTGCTCAGTCAACTGCAGAAGTAAAAATTAGACTATTAGCAAATTTTTAAACTTTGTTTTGGTCTGATGGCAATTTCTTTATACATATAATAAGAAAAATTCAAATTTTAGCCATGTATAATGTTAACCCTCTTGATTCCAATACACTAAAATAATCCCCACTAAGAATTAGATATGGATTCTTTCAGGTTATTTTCTACAAATAGTCTAAATAAGTCCATGTGTGGAGTGTATAAAAAACAAAAACAGGATATTATAGTTTAACAGATTAAAATGAGCTGTTAAATAATTTACTTTGAAGAAAGACTTGAAAACTTACCCAGTGTAACAAAAAAGCAGAAGAGGCTGTCAACAATAGTATCCATAACAGTTTCCATTTCAGTGTCTGTGATATCTGGCCTGTTAATAGCTAAAATGACACAAGTAAAGGAGAAATAAAGAGACCAAAATTTATGCCTTATTTTATTAAACTCTTAAAATTATTACTAAACTCCTAATCAATACTCAGTTTAATAACATATGTAATACTCAATAAATAAAAATTTTTATGCTTAAACTTTACAAGTATCCATTAAAAATTATACTACCTTAAAAAAATCCCACCTCGGTATCAGTAGTAATTAGTATCAATATCAGAGCAGTAATAAGAAAAAAAGCCACCACATAAAACACACAAAGTTTTTGCCAGAGTAATAGAAAAATATATATTGTATTCCATAGTTTTATTCACAAGCACTAGATGGCCTAAACAAACTACTGATCTTCAACTAGTGCCAGAAAAGAATAATGCAAATCAATTATGACAAGACCAACTTCACATATCATTTCCTTTTTATTATGTTGAGTTATATTAAAGTCTTCTCTGATCTACTAGATGGTACATAAGTGGTTCCCAAACTTTAGTGGGTATAAGAATCACTCTGGGAATATGGAAGAGAAAGAAATTTCTATGAAAGCTATTAAAAATTAGAGATTCTTCGTCCTTTCCCCTAGAGATTCAATTCAATAGATTTGAAATAATTCTAAGAAATATGCAACTTTGACAAGCACCTTAGATGATTCTTGGGGCTATATTTTCAGAAACACTGTTGTGAAGACTGTCATTGACAGTCAAAGACTTGACCTTATTCATCTTCCTATTTCACACAATAACTAGGCCCAGAGTCTGACAAGGAGATTCTCAGTAACTATTTGTTAAAAGATTACACTAAAATATGATCTATATACTATTTTTAATTTCCAAACATCCTGAAGGTGAAAATATATTAAATTTAATATTACTTGTGATTAACATGAGAGGAAAACAGAATCCAACTGGATATATCAAAATATGTAAAGAAATACTTTGTCCATGCAGACAGAGAACATAAAAACAATAAAAAATTGAGCCAAGCAATACAGAATCTGTATGAAAAAATGTGCTACTTCTTGGTGCAGACTGCCATCTATCTAAATTAATGATAGAAATGGCATAAGGGTAAACTGTGAATTATATAAATTAGGGGATAACAATCTAGGAAAACAGTTCATTTTTTTAATAACATATAGGTAAAAATCTACGTGGAAGCTTCTGGCGCTTTGGTCCTATACCCTAATCCCACACTCTGAGAACTGACCTGAATAGTCAAAAACCTTTCCATCGATAGCATCAACTCACTTGTGATAACAATCTGGTTTGTCTGAGACAGTAGCCTGAGTCTCATTGAGATATAAATCTGCCTCCTTTACAAGATAAATTCTCAATCCACAGAAAGTAGATAACCAAATCCATGGCATTAGTATATTTGATTTATGTTTGGAATAATCTGTTTAAGATCAGCTAAAGCACTTATACTGTGTGAGAGGATTTGGCACATAATGGTTAAGAGTGCTGTCCCTGGAATAAGTGCCTGGGCTTAGTAACCTGGTTATGCTATTTCCTTGTTAACTTCCTTAACATCTGAGACTCAGTTTCTTCCTTTGGAAAATGAAAATAATACCTACTTCACGAAGTTATTCTAAGGAGTAAATGAGCTTATATTGTAAAGTGCTTTATGAAGCAACCTAGAATTATTATAATAACTATACTATTGAGAATATGAGCAGTTTAAGATGTGATTATACTTAAATAAATTATATTTAAATACAAATTTACTGATTAATAATTTCAGACTTGTGCTCTTTAAAATTGAGAGGCAGTGTAAGAAAATTAAATTTACAAGTACTTGACTTGAATGTTTAATGAACTTAGACTCATTATCAATTTAATTATTTTTAAAAATTATTTAAATATTTGGGTAGATTGTGCTTGTTAGATTTATAAATTTGCCTAGTCTGGTATCTGAAGTACTTAAAAATAAAATTTAATATAGTGAATTTATAAATACAATTTAAACTGTTTAAGGAAATTTAGCAAACTAAGCTAAATAAGCTGTTAAATAGGACTGACTAGAATTTAGTTGTTCAGTCTGAGTTAATTGATAAAAGTAAACGTGCTTGTTTTTATGTAACCAGATTTACAAATGATGTGTCACCATTTATAAGTTTAGTTTAAAGACTTAAGGAAACTAGG